TCTCCCCTCCTTGCCTGCCTCCAATGCATTGTTTTGGGTCTTCCTACATCCCCAGGTCTTGTCCCCCACTCTTTAATTCCCTGTTCCTGTCCACTGCCCCAGACCACCCTGTCTCTCTTCCATGCCCCAGGATCTCATCCTGTGCACATTTGCCTTGCAGGATGCCACAGCTGAGCCTGTCCTGGCTGGGCCTGGGGCACATAGCACCCTCTCCATGGCTGTTGCTGCTGCTGACTGGGGCCTCCTGCCTCCTGGCTTACATCCTGACCCAGGTTTACACTGTCTTTGAGAACTCTCATCACCTCCGCTGTTTCCCGCAGCCCCCCAAACGAAACTGGCTCTCGGGACACCTAGGCCTGGTGAGTGTGGCAGTGAAGTGGTCCTGGGGTGTCAGGGTGAAAGGAGTTGTAAGGATCCTGGAATAGAACCCAGGGAACTGGCACAGGGGTGTGCTGGGGCCTAGGACAGCAGAATGCCACCATTCACAGATGTGCTGTCCTGAGCCTTTCCCACATGGAGTCTTCTCTGAGTCCTTCTCCAGCCTGTCTTCTCTGCACATGTGGACATGCTGCAGGGTTCCCAGCAAGGCTTACTCCAGCAGAGTAAGGACCTGGGTGTTCCCAGGTTCTGCTGCGCTGAACTTGAGCCCTCCTGAGGGGAGACCAGGGCCAGTCTTCAGTATATTATTTGTTTTCAGCTCATCTCTGGCTTCCCATTGGTCACAGAAATGAGCTGTAATCCCTACCCAGGCACACCAAGGGGCATAGCTGGTCCAGGGGAGTTCTGAGGGCTGATTTCCTAACTCCCCGTTCTTCAGTATCTTCCTCTTATGTCTGGCTTCTCCACTGAGATGTACCAATGAGTCCGGTTGCTCAATCTAGATAAGAGCTAGCCACTCGCTTCCTCTTCGGAAGCCTTCTCAGAACCCAGGCTCCACCGCATACCTTGAGTGTAGACCTCCATCTTGTTTCCCTTGTGTGATTTGGAGATATTTGCTTTCCTTGTAAGTTGGTGCAGTGCCAAGTGTACAGAGATTCAGCAGGGACACACACAGGCTGCTCTGCTAGAGCCTGGTGTCAGCAGAGGGCAGGTGAGAGTGGCCACCCTGATGGAGACTTAGAGGTCACCTTTTGCTTCCTTGGGGTCTGCTAAGGCTACAAGTTCCCAGATGTGGTTCTCCCTCACAGGAAGAACCAGAGACCATACGGGTGTCTTGTTAACTTTCCTGAGGAGATGTGAACAAGTTTGTATTCATCCCAGGTAGACACCAACATAACACGTCCATCTGCGTCCAGCTTGATGAGAACTATGGGCTTCTTAGGAGTTTTTATGGAGAACAGTTGAGGGGTTACTTATGGGATCATGGGTGACCCCCAAATGGCTGTATATTTGTCATGGGTGACAAATGGAAGCTGCACCACAGGGTCCTGATTTAAAACCCCCTTTTCGGGCTGGAGAGATGGCTCAGCGGTTAAGAGTACTGACTGCTCTTTCAGAGGTCCTGAGTTCAATTCCCAATAACCATATGGTGGCTCACAGCCATCTGTAATGGGATCTGATGCCCTCTTCTGGTGTGTCTGAAGACAGTTACAGTGTACTCATGAATGTAAAATGAATAAATAATTTTTGAATAATTAAAAAAAAGAAGAAACCCTTTTCTATATACTGTAGTATATCCGAAGATCACTTCTTGCTGTGGGAGAGAGTCATAGCTGGAGTCCCAGGAGAAGATCTCTCGATCTTCTCTCAGGAGTTCTGACAGCTCTGTCACCATCCCCTCTGACCTGGCTACTACTCTAGTGTGCTGCTATAGTTGCCATGACTACCAGTAGAAGTTGAAAATGGCACCCTTTAGGCCTAGAGGGGAAAGTGCCATATAAAAATAGGCCACATAGACATGGAAAGATATGGGATACTTTGGGCATCCGGAGACCACACTAGTACCCACTATCCCCCCCAGTATTATTTTCCTCTTGTGGTGGACCCTGATCCTGGGACTGCTCCCAGGATGAGAAAAGCCACATTCCAAAGCCAAGGTGTACACCGTGGTGTTGAGTGACTTTTTTGGGGGAAACATGAACTATCTTCTATTTATCCTGGACAAGGCACCAAGGACAGGGTAATGAAACAACTTCACTCAATCTTTCTTGATAAGCTATGGAGTTTGTTGGGGTTCCATACAGGAGGTGACTCAGGCAGCTGCACCACTAAAAAGTCAACCCCAGCATGAGTGGTGACTCACGAAAGCTAAAGCTCCCTACTCAGCATCAGCATTCAGGCAGCTCCACCAAAGAGTGTTCCTCTTCCCCCAACCCTGCAACTGTTTACTAATTATACCCCTTAGGGAGTGCGCTGGTTAGTCTTACTAATTTAGTAGGCTTCCTGGGTTTTAAGTTTCACCAGATTACCGAGTCTTGTGACCTTCCCTTCTGCAAGAGGGAGTGTTCCAAGCTGAAGGAAACAAATCCACAGCATATGGTCTGAATAGCGTGTGAGACTTTTCCAGGGAGACACCACACAGGTCTGCCCAGATGAGGAAACTAGGTGAGACCCAAGTGAACATTTTTACCAACGTCCATCTTGGAGAATTGGTGAGTTTATTGGAGTTACTGACAGAGATGTGGGTGATGGTTATGGAAGCAGGGAGGACCCAAAAGCAGGATGGTGGCTCAGAGGCTCCCTGCATGGCTCTGGGTAGCTTGCAGGTTAGAGAATGCCCTCCAAGGTGCCAGGCTGGCTGGTATCCACGACAACAGTTGTTTCCTACTTCTGTAACTTTGGAAGTCTTGTTCTTTTCCACCTTCTCAGACTCCTATATCTCAACTTCCCAGAGGGAATGTTTCAATTTAGAGAAAATTATTGCTTTACAATTAAGCAACATATACTAAACCTGCCTATGGCGAGTGCCCTGCTGGTGATATATTCTGGAGGTTCTGGAAACTTCAGGAGGTGGGATGTAGTTGGAAGGCATAGAACACTAGGGACAGATCATTGGGGGTATCTTGTCCTCTCCTTTTTATCTCTTTTTGCTTCTGTCCATGTGAGGTAAAAAACCCCTACCACAGGCTCCTGTCACCATGATGTAAAATGTCAGGTGGGAGTGATGAGCTGTCATGGACTAAATGCTTTGAATCTGTGAGCAAAATAAATCTTTCCTCCTTTCAGTTGTTCTCTCAGGTACCTTGCTCACAGGTTCATAAAAATAACCAACAAAGAACTTAACGGGTAATTATGGAGGAAGTCAAAAGTACAGAATCTGATGAGATGTGACTGACTTTACTAGTAAGATAATATCTGTGCCCATGAGGTAATGACTGTGCCCATAAGGTAATGACTGTGCCCATGAGGTAATGACTGTGCCCATGAGGTAATGACTGTGCCCATGA